GATTAGGGTACTAAAAACTTAGTTCAGCGTAATGTACCCCTTTTTCTCAACTCCGATAATTGCTTTGATAGATTTCTAAAAAAAATGATAAAGTGATTATTAAGTCACATTGATGCTTAGTCTCATTCTGTCTCTTAAAATTATTTGCAGGAGAGGGCTGCTCACAATTTATATGGCCAACTTGGTAAGTAATTCTTTTTTGTTTTGCTTTTGAGGTTTCTCCATGTGCTTTTTTTTAACCTCTTTTTTTTTTTTAAATCAAGTTCCCTTACAAGAGAAGGGAAAACCCCTTAAATTTGAGAATATTTTCTGTGTCTGTTTTTAAAGAACAGACTTAAATGTTTAAAATAGCCTTGCTGCTATCTCGTTCACTCCCATCACATGGACTGAATTGCACTTATTTCAGGAGGAAAGTGATTCACTGCCCTGTGCCCTTCATGATTCTTTTCTTTTAAGCTTAGATCTTCGTCTTTGATAGGATATATATCTGTATCTGTATCCCTCTCTTTTTCTGTCTTTAATTTCATTTCATGCTCTGCTTCTATTGCTAACTTCTTACAGGAAAAATGATTTAAGGATGAGCTTTTATGATGTACATTCTTCTTGGACATCAGAATAGCATTGATTCTACCTCCAAATACTGAGTATGTTTAATAATATAATTAGCCAGGCTTCTAAATTGTTAAGTTTACAGAATTGACATTACTGTCTAGTTTGATGTGCTTTATGGTAAGTAAATAATCAAGGTTATGTAATTTTCATTGCCAAATTTGTGTTTTAAAAAACATATCTATATTAAAATCTTTCAGAATTGTTTAATGGAATTGATAGTAAACATTGAAAAATTCAATTAAGAAAAGAGAAATAATTATTTACCTAAGGATAGGTTTTTGAATTCTGTAGCAAGAGAGTTATATTTAGCAGCTTAATTTCAGTTCTAAAATATTTAATTTTTACTCTGTGCTTACCATGTATCAGTGACTGTGCTGTGTGCTGGAAGGCACGCTAGAGACAGTCCTTGTACTCCAGGAATTTGCTATTGGGTAGAGTAGAAATAATGTCTGAAGAGGGCTGAAAGATGAATCAAAGGGTGCCCTGGAAACTGTAATAGTAGCATCAAACTATTTCAGGTGCTGCCTTCCTTTCTTTTTTGTAAAAAAAACTTTGAAAATTATGTCTGCATACTAGAATGCATTTGAGTTTTAATGCATTTTTTTCCCTTTAGTCATGCACCTGCTTTCCTATGCTACCACATGGTGATACTTTAATACCCAAACGTTATATGTATTTATACATTTACCTTTAAGTTCT